CTCTCTCTCTCTCTGTCTGTCGTTTTTTTCTCGATATCAGCAGCACGGTTAATAGGTTAATAGGTTGGTATTGGTAAAAATTAAGTAATAAGGTGATTAAAAATTTCTCATCGGAATTTATAATGTTTACATACCCTAATCTTTTAATCTTTTCAACCCGATCACCGTAATAATTAGTACTTCAAATTTATATTTATTTAATCGTTCTCATTGATTATATTTATTTAATCGATTTAAGAGACTCGAATTCGCAAGATTAGATTTATATAATATTTACATATGTATAACGAGATAAACGTATTATTCGACGATCGTTTTTTTAACTCCATTCATTTCGCTTTCTCTTTTTACGCGTCTATCTATCCATCTATTTATCTATCTATCTATCTATCTATCTATCTATTTTTCTAGTTTGATGATTTTCGATTTTTCGCTCAATATACATATATATATATATATTTACACGCATTGCGCGTTGATTCGATAAATAAAATGACAAAGTAACAACGATAGAAAGAACAATAATAATATTTTATAACGAAACATATTTTCTGAGAATTACCGATATCTTTTATCGGATAAAAGATAAAACGAAGGAAAAAAGTAATTGGAAGGAAAAGTATAACGATTTCGATCGTCTTCTCCAAATAAATGCAATTTTTTATCGTTCTTCGTTTTATTCGACGTATTGGTTTCTATTCCTTTTTCTTTCACCCCTCTCTTTTAGGGGAAATTATTTATAAATTTTTTTAAAAAAATTTATAAATATGCGCATGTTCTATAGAAAGGAAAAAATTCTATATATATATATATATATATATACCGATATTTATTATCGATGAATATATTCTATAGAATGAATGTCGGTACTTTTAGATCGATCGATTAGAACCGATTAATAATTTTGCCGATAAGATACTTGGAATTCTACGAATTTATATAAATCACGGGTAAGAAAATATCGTTTCATTATTAAGAATTGGCGAGAGGAAATTTGGAAAGAGAATGTTAGTAAGTTAGTATCTGTGTACTAATGTGCAGTTCGTGCAATTAAATGTAAACAAATATTGTTATATCGCTCGCGTATATTTATGCGTATATAGTTATTTACATGTATAATAGTAGGCTAAGTACATATCATTGCCTTTTCTCAAATTATTCAAAATCGACTCGTAGGCGCGAAGTTTTCTTCGTGTTTTTTCGTTGTGTACGTGCTTCCGCAATTTCGGCCGATTCGAACACGAATTTTGAGAACGCAATTTCTCGATTAATTTCTCGATTGATGTACGATGATGGAAAAACGTGTGCGCGTTCTTTTCTCATCCCTCCAAAATCTCTTCTATATTTAATCGAAACGAAAAATTTATGTACAATATACATATATATATATATATTATTCACTTTCGGTAAGATATAAAAGAAAAAAAAAAAAAAGGAAAATAATCTGTATATCTCGTTTATTACAACAATTCGAAATATCAATGGCCCCTTTTTTCCATCTTTTCTTCGATCGTATCGTAACGATAAGCTGTATTCCATTTTGTTTCGTATAAATCGTAATTATTCGTTCCGATGATTCGTGATAAATCATCTGAAAAAAAAAAAAAGAAAAGAAGGAAATAAAAAAGAAAAGGATGATTTTCGTGCTTACGATTAATTTACAGAAACGTACTCATGGTTCGGATATTTTTCTCTGCTCGTTCCAACAACAAATCGAAAGATAATACGAATGGAAACATCGCGATCCTCCTCAAATCGAAAGTGCAGCATTGACAATCGAAATATCAAGTTTCTTCTTCTATTATAAAAAAAAGAGTCAATGAATATAGAGAGAACAATTTTATAAAGCTTAAGAACACAACAACCCAAAAGTGCATTATATATTACAAATATTACATTGTTACGTCTCAGTTTCCAATTTCCAAAAAGTCTCGCAGCGTTGAAGAATTCGAAAGTCGATATTGTTATCGTAAAAAAAAAAATAATAATAAAAAATAAAAAATAAATAAATAAAAAGTAAAAAATAAAAAAAAGGAAAAAGAATAAGAACCATCCGAAATAATAATAATAATTCTTTTGTTTTTCGGATTAACAAGTATCTCGAATGTTCTTTTCCTGTTCTTTTCGTGTGTTTGTACATATAAAAATACTAACGCTATATATACACGTTGTGTCACGTGTATATACGAAAAATATATTTTTCATAGGTATTATTCGGAATCTTTTTGAATCTTGTCACGATCGAGATAAAAATTGAATTGAATCGAGAGAAAAAAAATTTCTTTAAATGTATTTGAAACGGTAAAATATTCGCCATTTTATTTTCAATAAATATTATATCGATATGTTGTAAATCGATGATGTAAAACAACGCATCGATCGATCCACTTTGATCACGAAATTAATATACCGTGAAATCTTGCTAAGCAAGTTCAAAGATAAAAGATTAATATGCGAGCGAAATATCGAATTATCTACGCTACTTTGAAAATCTATTTTATATTTTTCTACGCCGTTCATTCTATCCTTCTTGCACGCCTTCATGCACTCATGCCTTCAACCTCTTCTTTAAATTAATCTCTCTCTCTCTTTCTTTCTTTCTTTCTTTCTCTCTCTTTCTCTCTCCTTTTTATCGATCCATTTTCCCTATTTCGCCGAAACGATGCATCGTAAACTAGTAGTTAGCAAGTTTACAAGAAAACGATTGTTACAGCGAATAAAACAAATTCTTTTATTTCCTCCAGCGCTTAATCTCTAACGAGCATTTTCGTATTAATCTCTTTTAATCTATTTATTCGCACTCTATTCTATTTATATACCGTGTATAACGTATCATTCGTTGCTCTTCAAACTATCGTAAAATGTGTTGGATGAAATCATTAAGTCGAGAAAGGAACGTACAATTATGATTTGTAAAGTATTTTTTTCTTTTTTTCTTTCAAATTTTATTTTTCCCTATATGTCGCGATTAATTTTCTTCCATAATAGAATTTATATAGACGATATGACGTAACAAATTTTTGGCAATATCTTTATACTTACATTTTTTACAACAAACACTTTCGTACAATCCATGTTTAATCCCCTCCTCGTATATGGAGATGCAAAGATATGATTATAGAGACGATCTAATAAGGATATAATACGCGTAATAATAACGAAAGACTCGGTGAAAGACGAATTCGTTATATAATGTTCGTGCATTTATTAAAATTCTCTTCGAAGAAAAAATTCCTTTTCGAAATTGTATCGCGTGATATATATTTATCATTTTCTATCTTTAATTATAACGAAATTGATATATTATTTAAAGCATTATTAAAAATAATTTTTACGAAATTGAATTAACTTTTACTATTTTGAGAGAACAAAACTTGTTTGAAATTTTTATCAAGTTCCCGTAATAAATAAAATAAAAAATGATTTATTTTTATTCTTATGATATAATCGATAAAAAAATACTTTTCTCCGCGATACGATGCTTTATAACGATTTGTAACGAATATTATTTCACATTAATTTTTGATCGCTTTTACGCGTGATAAAATCGTAAAATTTATTAGAATTTTTATTAATTAAATTGCAATACGAAAGGAAAGAATTATTATATTTCTATTTTCATCGGTATTTTCATCGGTCTTTAATTGTACCGAGTTGCACATAGTACTGTAATCTAGAAAATCAAATTGCTGATAATGATTTTTTTATAAAAAAAAAAATATATATATAAATTTTATCTTTAAATTATTATTATTTACATTATCCTAACGATTAACCAAAATGTCAATATTCGAAAGTATTTTATCTACATACATATATGAAAAAAGTATAAATTAAATTTTGACATTACCATTGTAATTAATTTTATTGGTAATCTGATATTATTAAATAATTATCAGATTGCAATTTTTATTTCACAAAATACACGAAATCTGCAACACAATTTTTATTTTCTATTTCAAAGAATATTGTTCGTTTCTTTTTTTTTCCTACGTTAAATTATTGCAAAAAATATCAGATTGCAAAAACTTATCGTTAAGCACGATATATTTTCAACAGACAGTACGACTGTTTAATAAATTGTAAATCGTTGTAATTATATATTGTGGATCCGTTTATCCTTGATACACGAACAATATATCAAATAAAATATACAATTAAAAGTAATATAATAATAAAAATAAAGGAAAAAAAAAAATAAATAGATAAAAAGACGAGAAGAACAAAAGGAAAGAACAAAAGAAAGTTCGCTTAAATATGTGTAACATTAAACGATATTAAACAACACGTTAATTTCGCAATTTCATTGTGTATTTCGTTCCAATCGCAATGGTACATGTATCATTAGCAACAATTAGAAAAACATTATTGTATTCTTCGATGGTGAATATAAAAAGGATATGAAGATACAAAAGAAGACGTAAAAAATAATTATATCTATTTTCGTATTTATTTATTTTTGTAACGATTCGTAATGATCGTTTTTTTTTTTTTATCGAAATATTATGAAAAGAAAGGGAAAAAAAAAAGAGGAAAAAAAGAAAAGAAAAGAAAAGAAAAAAAAATGTATGGAAATCATTTTATCGAAAATAAAATCTTATATTATAGTTTCGAAATTTGCGCAGTTTTTTCAAAAAAGTATTGTATAATAAATATTTATCAAAGACGTAATAAATGTATACGTACTTAATATGTATGTACTCGTGACGGAATATACTGCCGATTGATTATTGATTATCTCTGATTTTGAAAACAACACTTGGAACAACACTCGTTTCGACATTTTAGCAAAAACTATTTAGCGCATAGGATCGATCTCTAGGACCATTAGTCTTGTATTTAAAAAAAAAATATATAGCGTTTATATACATATATATACATATACACATACATATGTATACATATGTATAGAAATCTGAGATTAATAGATCGATAATAAGATCGAGTATAATTTGTGTGA